TACCAAGCATGTGGAAGTCGACCGACACTTCATCAAAGAGAAACTTGAAAAGGGTATAATTAAGTTTCCGTTTGTAAAATCAGAAAACCAACTTGCCGACATTCTGACGAAGGCCGTATCAAGTAAAGTTTTTTATGATTCATTTGACAAGTTGGGCATGCGTGATATCTTTGCACCAACTTGAGGGGGAGTGTTAGTTGAGACAATTACAAGACAAAGACAAGACATAGACAAGACCCTAAACCAAGGAATGCTTGTCTACCATCTCTCTACTTTTCCATGTTTACATATCCATGTTTTAGAGATGTTTACACATCCATGTTTTAGGGGTACCTTTTCCGGGATTTGTGCTAGATGTAATTATTAATTAACCTTTGTACAATTGCATATAACTCTCAAGTGAGTAATACAATTTTAGATTAGCATTCTCTGCAAATCCTCTTCTCCAAGTTCATCTCTATTCTCTCAATTACACTATCTTTGGCAATAACAGATCTACGATCTGTCGACACAATCGAAGAGTATTATCAACAAGACAAACAAAAAATCACTTCGTTTGAGAGCAGCTGCTCTGGCTTTACCCATGGCGATACTTTTGGCGACCCCAGCGACCTGGACGCAAGGGATATGGTGACCTCAGTGACCTAGACGCAAGGGATATGGCGACCTCAGTGACCTGGACGGCGAGATCTGTGACCTGGATGGTGAGCTCGGTGACCAAGATGGCGCTATGGACATGGTGTTTAAGAGATGAGAAAGGGAGTTGAGAGAGAGATAGAGGGTTTTCTGAAAAGGTCGTGAGAGGGAGTGTTTGAGAGAGAGAGCTGTTCGTGAAAATTTAGAACGTAAATGAAATTTTTGTCCAGCGCTTTTTAAAGGACGACGGTTTTCAAAATTAATGGTCGTAATTTTTATCTGAGCCTTTTAAAGAACGACGGTTCCTTTTGGAACCGTTGTGGTTTTTCATGATTTTTAAAAACACAACGCTTTTTAGTTTTACGGTCGTCTAATACGGGTCGTAGTTTCCCATAATTGAAGTAGTGGGTAACGTCTGGGCTGGAGTTTCAGTTGGTTTTGGATGGTTTGTTGGCTGCAGGGATGCAAGATTTGGCTTTGTTGGGCTCCAAGAGAATAAAACATGTGGGTTAACTTGAGGGGTACATCGCATTAATGTTTTGTTCCAGGATTAAGTAAGATTGTTGCCATAGCATTCAAAGCTATAGAATCCATTACTGCTCTCCGGTTTGGTGGGTGGGATTTATTACTTCCTCTGCCCACTTTTTGGATTTGAAAAATTGAAGCAAAAGGGGGTTGGTGGTTGGGTGTGGGATGGTTTTAATTTTCGAAGGGAGATATTGTAAGGTGTTGTGGATTTGTTGGTGTTCAATTCCAGATGAAACATCAAAGATCTTGTGGATTTGTTTGGAAGCAGTCTCACACAGAGGTGAGGGAGCTCTCATAGTAGAGAGAGAATCTCTCATTTAAGAGAGAGACTGGGACAGTAATTTGCATGTTACTTAGTGTTCCTCTCCCTTAGGCATCTTCAGTTCAACGATGTCCACAGAAATTCTTCTCTCTCCCTCTCTTCCCCCACCACCCCACTCTATCCTCAAGGGTCTATAAATTGGTTGAGGCCAAGCCACATTAAGTTCACTCAACAATCTTGTCTTGATCACCTTAATTGTGTTGTTAAGAAAAACATGGCATCCTCCTCCAAGACTTTTCTTCTTCTTGGCTTTATGTGTGCTCTTGTGATCCTCATCTCCTCTGAGGTCTCAGCTCGTGAGCTAGCGGAAATTACTAAGCCAGCAATTCCTGTTAGTGAGTTTCTAATTTGTTTTTTTTAACTTAGATGTATGTTTATATTTTTTATTCCACCGATCTGTGAAAATATATGTGTGTGTGGGTATATGCGGATGTTCATATTTATGACCTCTACTCATGTTACTCAACTCATATTATTTTCTTTGTGGGTGTTGTATTATCCTTACAAATAATCAGTCAAATCAAAAATCACAAAAACAAACAAAAAAATTTCGGCAAACATTAAAATGACCTTAAAGATAAACTATGTCATTAATTAAATTCGTTGATCATTCGTAGGGATGATTTAAGAAAAGGACCTAAAAAATGAATATTTCAACACATTTTCAACCCACAAACTTACCATTCAAATCATAGAAATATATACATTACATATGTATTTATGTCATTTCTTTTTATCGGAGAGAAGAAGGGATTCAAATTTGAGATGCATATTTTAACATTGAGAACATATGTACTATTAGACTAAGTACTCTTTGGCATATATGCCATTTTTAAAGAGAACTTTCTTTGTAGGTTTGAGTATAAATGTGAATTATGTCCCTAGGCTAGATAAAACAATTTTAATATTAAGTTTAAAAATTAAGGGCAATATAATAATTAGCAAACCCTTAATCTTCACTCACCCACTTTTACCCTCCTAGACTAGACCCAACTGTAGCTCTATTCTAATTTCTACCTTTATGTGAATTAATAGTCCCAGTAATTTTTTTTATACAAAATCATATGAAATTTCTTAATCTATCAAGATCTTCTCGATGTTATGTTCATTTTATGTTCATTTTACAAGGCTGCTGTTTGCATGGCTTTGCTCCCTACAAAATACAAACCGATCCATGCTTGTCAAAGTGATATAAATTCTTTAGACTTATACAGATTACTTTTCTTTCAGGGGGCAATACCTATCCCTTTAAAGGCCGTCCAAGTGCGCGAACTGTCAGATGCATGCAGTCCGTATACCTATCAATTTAGAACATTTCGCCGGGCCCCGCCCCCTCCCCCGGCCCTAGCCCCGCACTGGCAGCAGCGCCGGGCCCTACCCCTGCCCCCGGCACCGGAACCGGAACCGGAACCGCCCCTGCCCCCTCTTCCCCCGGCACCGGAACCACCCCCATCCCCGTCCCCACCCTTGGCTCCTGTCCCGGGAGAGTATAGGCAAGGCCAAGGGCACCATGAAAAACCAGGACTTGGTGTTGCTGAGACTGAAACTGGGAATTAAATAGATAACCCTTTTTCAGTGGATATTGCAGGTACTGTGTGGTAATAATTAAGAGTTTGTTTTGTCAATAAAGGTCAATGTAATGTATTGGTTGAGTTGTTAATAAAACTCTCAATCATAATTAAGTAGGATTTTAAGGTTTATCTTTGTACTAGTACTCATATCATACTGTGTCTAAGATATGTGGCTTTCTATCTTTATATATACATTTGAAATCTATCCTAGCAATTCCTTTTTCCATAATTTGTGTATCAATGAAAATCTCCATTAAGAGTAACTATATGTTGATGGAAGTTTTAAAATTAATTCAAGCAAGCCTTTCATATCATAATGTATTAAAAATAAGTAATTTCGACTTATTTTCTTTACAATATAAAAATAAGTAATAAGGACACTCAGGCTAGATACTTGGGTAAGAAATCCTGGAATTCATCTCAGCCAAATGGACCCACTTGATGAAAAAAATAAAAAAAGGACCCGTGCTATATAACATGTGAATCTTCGCATAGGAGAAAATCTGTATATATTGTATATGTCTATATATATTTATATATGAAATTTTTTGAGAATAAGAGTTCATTCATAAAACCAAAAGGCATACAAAGACATATGAAACTTATTTACTAAAGATATATATGTGTAGACTTGATTTTCTTCTCTGTTCGTTAAACGATTTACAAAAGGAGACAAACCATCAACGTTTGTGGAAAAAAAAAAATGAAGGACAAAAAGAAAATGAACGTTTGTCCACGAGTAAGCTAAATATGAATGGGCATGCAAAGACTTCAAAGTAAGTCCTTTTATAGGCACAAAAAATTGGAAAAGTAAAAAACAAGTGTTCCTCTCCTTTATTTGTATATTTGTATATTTTTTATTTAATTTTTGAGTGTTTTTTTGTCAAATCAAGTGTTCCTCTCCTTTAGTCGTCTTCAGTTCAACGATGTCCACAGAAATTCTTCTCTCTCCCTCTCTTCCCCCACCCACCCCACTCTATCCTCAAGGGTCTAAAAATTGGTTGAGGCCAAGCCACATTAAGTTCACTCAACAATCTTGTCTTCACCTTAATTGTGTTGTTAAGAAAAACATGGCATCATCCTCCAAGACTTTTCTTCTTCTTGGCTTTATGTTTGCTCTTGTGATCCTCATCTCCTCTGAGGCCTCAGCTCGTGAGCTAGTGCAAATTCCTTTTAGTGAGTTTCTAATTTTTTTTTTTAACTCTGATGTATGTTTGTATTTTTTATTCCATCGATTTGTGAAAATATATGTATGTGTGGGTATATGTGGATGTTCATATTTATGACCTCTACTCATGTTACTCAACTCATATTATTTTCTTTGTGGGTGTTGTATTATCCTTCATATAATACAAACTAAAAAGTTTCGGCAAACATTAAAATGACCTTAAAGATAAACTTCGTCACATAACCTTATGCTTGTCAACTGATATAAATTCTTTTTATATAAAGGACGACTTATATATATAGACCCTTCAAACCCGGGCCAGTCGTCAATTGCGGCCGTCATCCGTATTCTAAATGCCTACCTAAACCGAAAGGGCATGGCCCCCCAACCCCCGGCCTTGGGAGAGTATAGGCACGGCCAGCCCCCGGCCCCCGGTGTTACTGCTGAGACTGAAACTGGGAATAGATACGTAACCCTTTTTCTTTGGATATTTTCAGGTAATATAATAAGGGTTTGTTTTATCAATTATAAAGTTTAATGTAATGTATTGGTTGAGTTGTTAATGAACCTCTCAATCATAATGAATTAGGATTTTAAGGTTTATCTTTGTACTAGTACTCATATCATATTGTGTCTAAGATATGTGGTGTTTGTGCAAATAATCTCGTTTGTGCAAATAATCTCACGGGAGAATATTCGCTTCTAGATCCTTCAACCTTCGATCTTCCTTCTCTCTCCTTCTCGGTTCCTGTAAAAAAGATTGGAGTAAATAGACCACACCCGGGGGGGTGTTGGCCAAAGGCCCTCCGATGCCTAAGTTAGTTCGAGTGTTTGTAGGAAAACAATAGCTAAGCAAAGGGTACGGAGTTGTATGGTGTAAACCGAGCGGCCGGAGCCGTGTGGAGAAAATATGGAGAGTGGAGAGTGGAGAGGGAGAGAGAGCTTCGGGTATTTTCTCGGGTTTTGGAGCTAGGTTTAGAAGTAGGGTTTTTGAAGTACCTTGAATGATGACTGAAGTCATCTATTTATAGGAGCCTCGGGGCTAGGGTTTCGTAGCCTCGGGCAGGGACGGATCCACAGAGGAGCAAAGGTGGTCAAGTGACCCCTGCAACTCTGGGATCTGCCATTAGAGGGGAGAAAATTGACCCCTGCAAACTACTCGACGAAAGTCCCCAAAGAGCACGAAGCGCTGCTCCTCCCCAGCGCGCAGCATCCTCCAGCATGCAGCGCTGCTTGCGCTTCCTTTTTTCTTTTTTCCCTCAAAGTCAAAACAACGTTGTCCTATATATATTATGTATTTTAAAGCCTATATCTATGTTATATATTATATGGTTCTTTGTCTGCTGGTCCAATCAAAAACTTTTCTTCTTTTTTATTCCCACAGCTGAAGACACGCGCATGCATGATGTCTCCCACTTCCTTTTTTATTTTTTCTTTATGACCTTTTGTTCCTTCGTTGCTGCTTCTGGTCCCACTTTTTCTTCTGTATTTTTTTCATCTCAAATTCCCTTTGGTCTGCTGTGTTTCATTTCCTCCTCTTTGCTATAGTTTCATCTCAAAACGACACCGTCTAGGACCAGGTCACTTAACTTTTTTTAAATTTTATTATCATGGCCTTTTGGACAGGTTTTTTTAATTTCCGAAATATGCATATAACAATCTAATAAACATGTTCCTCATAATTTTATTTTTTTACATGTATGTAACTGTTATTGCATTTTCATTCATTTCTACGGGTCTTCTATATGTAAAAAATTGTGAGCTTATATATGTTGCCCCCCGGAGAGCAGATTTCTGGATCCGTCCCTGGCCTCGGGGCTAGGGTTTCGTAGATATTGAGTCGGACTTGATAATATCTGAATTATCTCGTTAATTATAAGATAATATCCTATAATTAGGATATTATCCCTTTGATAAGATAATACCCGAATTATTGATATTATCTCATTAATTATAAGATAATATCCCTTTATTATGATAATATCCCAATTAATGATATTATCTTTATTAATTATGAGATAATCAGTCCCGATCTCTTGGACCACAGGAGTCCAAGAGATTATGGTCACCTACCGTTGGATATTAATCCAATAGTTCAAAAAAGTTTCTTAAAAGGAGTGCAAGAATGAGTGAACCGTTGAATTTATATCAAACGGTGAGTGACCACAAATCTCTTGGACCCTTGTAGTCCAAGAGATCGGGACTAATGAGATAATACCATATAATTAAGATATTATCCATATTAATTAATTATCCCAATAAATGGTTTAATTAATTAATTTAAGGGATAATCTTCTTTTCCACATGGTGTGCTCTGATTGGAGACGAAAATATTTGCTCTCACATGTGGCTTTCTATCTTTATATATACGTTTGAAATCTATCCTAGTAATTTCTTTTTCCATAATTTGTGTATCAATGAAAATCTCTCCATTAAGAGTAATTATATGTTGATGGAAGTTTTAAAATTAATTCAAGCAAGCCTTTCATATCATAATGTATTAAAAATAAGTAATTTCGACTCATTTTCTTTACAATATAAAAATAAGTAATAACGACTCTCAGGCTAGATACTTGGGTAAGAAATCCTGGAATTCATCTCAGCCAAATGGACCCACTTGACAAAGAAAAAGGACCCGCTCGACTTTCTTTGGCTCTACTTGAACACTGGACTTGTGAAAAACGAATATCAACGAAGTCCTAATCCAATTTTAATAGCTCCAGATGCATGATGCCATCCTCGTCTCTCTTTCATTGCTTCACTCCCATGTCTTAATCTCTTCCTCTACTTTTGGTAACCATTTCGTTTTCAGTGTTGAGTTTCTGTTTTGAAAACCCAAACCATGTTTGATAATAGTTTAAATTGTTTTTAGTTTTCAGTATTCGTTTTTTTTTTTCTTCCTCGTTTTTTTATTCTCCAATTTTACATAACCACACATACATCTACATCGCACTCCAGTACCACAACGTCAATCATTAATCCTATATGCACTGTGTTTTGTTGTTTATTCTAATAGGTATATGGTGGAATAATGAACCTTTTAGCTCTAAGAACATAATTATACACTGGAGCACTGGCATGAATTTAAGCACCTACAAAAGAAGCGTGTCAAAAGAAGGGCAGGCTGCCCTTGACAAACATACCCACATAAGGTGAATAAAAAACATGCTTCTCGTAATAGAGGAGAGGTCATATAACTCTTGAATTATTTCAAGGAGATATTTAATCCACACGGTTGACTTGTAAGAGAACACTTCTTGACTTGTATTAAGAGATATAAAACCATAAACCTAGCTAGTGATTTAAGAAATTAAACGACGGCAGAGAGGACACATGAACCCTCAGGTATTCAAACAGAAAGCTAACACACAACTTGACTTCTATGAGACACAACCAAACATGGAGCTGTCTGTTTTCCTACTACATTCCTCAGGTATTCAAACAGAAAGCTAACACCCAACTTGACTTCTACGAGACACAACCAAACATGGAGCTGTCTGTTTTCCTACTACATTCACAGGCTATTCCAGAACTTGTTTACCCTTGTCCTTATTAAGCTTAGGACCCTCGATTCCTTCCACGCTTTTAAAGAGAGGGTCTTGCATGGAGCTGTCTGTTCTGCTAGGTCCTGCCTTGCCCTCACCACCATCATGGTAGCGCTGATCATTTGTTTCTTTGGTCTCAAGAAAAGTGGTAAACTCATCCTCATGCTGATATACTCGACGGAAACCACACATTTTCGCGTACAGCCCTCCCGTATTGCTTGCAAATGAAGCGTTTAAGTGACTACACCCTTTCAACTGATCTTGAAACCACTAACCACCAAAAAATAATACTTATACTGACATATAGAACCCATCCAAAATATGTTGATATAGAAATGAAAGTAACAATATGAATATGACCATAACAAATTGCTAATAAAATAAAAAAGAACAATAACTTTTCCCATGTTCTATTGCTTCAA